CCATAAAGCCCTCTTCACTCTCACCTCTGGCTGGATGCACCTCCATCTCTGCGCAGAGGGCATGAGATGCGGAGTTAAGATGCTTCTGGGTCAAATTCTGTTCTTGCAACTTAAGCAAGGTTCAGACTTTAGGGAACCTCAGCTTCCTCCTCTGGGCTGTTGTGAGAACTGAGCAAGACTGTATATGGGAAGGGTTTAGAAACAGCCCAGTATATAGAATACATACAATTGTGCTGTAATTAGCTTTTATCTATCCAACCTTCCTGTTAAACTAAGTGCACCAATATTTGCCTCATTACTGTCTTCCTGGTGTCTGATATACTGAAGGTGCTGTAAAAGCGCAGCTCATCAATGCAGGCCTGGATCTGGGAAGTCACAACTTCCATAAAGTCAAGGTTAGTGGACTAGGTCTATATGCAGATCCTAAAAACCCACTGGTAGACTTTTCAAATATTCCTCATGAAGATCAACCTACAAGCTTCTGGGCCTTCTCTTTTACTGCTAAACAATTCTCACTGCAAAGGTTTTGACATTTAACCGAAGGACATTCAACTGCCATAAAAGTTGGTGCTTTTTCCAAAACAACAACAAAATCCTGCTATTTGTAGTTAACAAGCCAGATTTGTTTTTTAGTAACTATTACACAATTTTTTTTTTTAGTATTTGTAGTTAATAAACCAGATTTGTTTAGTAACTATTACACAAATGAATTATTTTTTAGTATATATATAGGCGCATTGTGGAAAATAGGGGAAAAGCAACTTGGGGTGGGGGGAGCACCATAATCCCATCACCAATTTGTCTGTATTTTCTTCTAGCCTTTTTTTATGGTTTAAAAATAATTTTTAGGCTAGCTGTAATTGTAATAACACAATGTAACTGTGCACATTGCTTTCCCCCATTTTAAACTGTAACAGACTTCATGCATTACTGATTTTTAAAAGTCTAATGAAAAAGAAAATGGAATTGAGATTTGGAAGAATTAACTTGTTTAACAAATTACAAACCATTTCACATTCAAAAGACATAATGATGATTGCCTAACTCTCTTACTTTGTAAGTACTATTTGGCAGGACTATTTAAATTACTGAGCTTTTTTTAGATTTGGGGGAAATACTAAAATTTTGTATAGCTGTTTTCCTGTTACAAAAATAATGCATGCTCATTATACAACATGTAGAGAAAATTTCAATAATTTAATGTTAACATTTATTGAATGTGGACTATGCACCAGGCACTAATCCAAACGCTATATACATAGATTAGCTCATTTATTCCTTATAACACTTAACGGAAGCATAGATTAAGTAACTTGCTCACTGTCTACTCACCTAGAAGTATGAGCCACAAATCATTATGCTATGTTCTAGGAGTGAAAAGCGTCAATAATTTACTCAATCAAATGCTTCAACTGTTTCAGAGCAAAATGTCATAGGCAAGAAACAATTAATAATAACACTGTACCCTTTATAGTTATTTAAAATTATTATAAACCACATCTCTGTGTCCCACTGGAGCAATTAGTAAAACGAGAAATCATCTGTGGCATGAGCTAAGCTCCTGGTTCAGCCCAATTCTGTGCAACTGATGTGCATTAAGACAAAAACAAGAAGATTTAAAGGGTTTGTTTTAAAGACAGAGGCTTTTTTTTTTTTTTTTTGAGACAGAGTTTTGCTCTTGTTGCCCAGGCTGGAGTGCAATGGCCAATCTTGGTTCACCGCAACCTCTGTCGCCCAGGTTCAAGTGATTCTCCTGCCTCAGCCTCCTAAGTAGCTGGGACTACAGGCATGCACCACCATGCCCAGTTTATTTTGTATTTTTAGTAGAGATGGGGGAGGGGGGGCGTTCTCCATGTTGGTCAGGCTGGTCTCAAACTCCCAACCTCAGGTGATCTGCCCACCTCGGACTCCCAAAGTGTTGGGATTACAGGCGTGAGCCACTGCGCCTGGCAAGATAAAGACATTTTAAAAATCTTTTAGATTTTAGGAAATGAGTCAACAATTTGATGAGTAGAGTCCCTGAATTAACTGAACACCCAATCTCATGAAAATTTATAAATAAAACAACCACTCACAATCAGCCTAACACTTCTTATGGCTTATCTGTTGGCCTTGGACATCAGTACATGCAAAAGTAAATAACAGGATACCCTTGGGTCACGTGTTTTCATACTTTAATTAAGAATTATACTTGGTTAAAGATGAATACTTCAGTTCCTGGCTACTTTCCTACCTAGGGTTAATAAACACAACTATTTGAAATATAAATTATCTTTAAATGTAAAGGATAATGCAATGTTTCTGTCAAAATTACTATGCAACTGTAACTTTGGCACTAAAAGCATATTAAAACTATTAATCCTTTAATCATAATTATTCATATTGTTGTGGTAGAAACACCACACACACACACATACCAGTTACTTCTGGGGAATTTGAAATTGCTCTATCTAGCATTTCCGGAAGGTTCAAGCTACCACCTTGCAATTTATCCAGTAGCCTGCTGCTTGAACAAGCTAGATTAATATCTAATAATTTTGACCATGTACTGTGTGTTAAGTCCAGTTTAAGTGTTTTCCAAAGACTGTTTCACATACTTTAAAGCCCTACAGATAGAGACCATTATTATCCCCATCTTATAAATCAGACTGAAAAGGTTAAATAGCTAATATTTTCATCTAAGTCTGTCTGACTCCAAAGCCAACACCCCAAATCACTGTTAAACAAGCTTCTCTTCCAAGTTAGGGCTCAGAAAAATTTACTTGACTTTCACAACTTGCCTTTCTAGGTTAAGCTTAAGCTGACATAAAACTCCAAATTAAAGCAAAACACAATAAATCACTTAATTCTAAATTTGATTTTTTTTCCTGCTAGACAGAAGTTTTCAACAATTAAAAAAAAAACTAATCTGATATTGGCTAACCACTTCCTCGAGTGTTCTGACCATGAAGCCCTTTGCTCTCACACTTTAATAAACCACCGATATTCTCTAACAAGTGACAACACAAATCCACAAATCTAATTGTTAGAGAGCTTTCAAGTAAGATTGGAGCTTTCTGGACAGGAAATTTTTATAATACTATTTTTTTCAGGCTCTTGTGAATCACAGATTCACATTTTCATATATTTTTACACAAATCTAAGTGCTGTATGCCCTGTTGGGTGTTCGATATCTAGTAAATTACGTGAGTTAAATACAGCAAAAATAGGACTGCATTATTTATAAGGTCTAACGACGCAGTAGACTTTTTAGCATTTTTTGGACTTAAACCAGGGCTTTACAGCGCTGGTTAACTATTAGAGAAGGCAAAGGGACTGAACATTTTATCTGAAAGTCCTTTTATCACTTAAGACTCTGTAAAATGTTTGATTACTTTAAAAATTGTGTGTGTGAATCATGTTAGTTTACTAGAAAAGGGGCTTGCTAGTACATATAATTGGGTTAAAAAAAACAAAAACAAAACAAAACAGCTCCTTACTTGAATGTGATTGTTTTGGCAATAGTAAAATTCAATCCCGTCGTTCTAGCGCTGCCTGCCTTCCTGGTTCTCCTAGGTGAGGGCCGCCATCCTGCGATAATTTACTTCGAGAGCTGAGAGGCGCTGGCAAGGGTGCAGTCTGGTGACTAGCACTTTTAAAAACAAAGCCAAACTCCGCTTTTAAAATAGAGAAGGCACAGACGCAGACCCTGCCTCTGAGGACATCCAAAAGATTCATTATAGACAGCCTATTCAAGCGAAGCTACAACCGCCCCAGGAAATATAAACTGTGTCGGCAAAGACAGCAGGGGGGAGAGGAAGTAACTGATGGGAAGGAAGCTAATCATGTGAAGTTTGTCCAACTCCACACGGTTTAATAAATTCCCGTTTGTTTCCGCTGGGAGCAGCCATTAAACGCGCCCTGACACGTGGGCGCAGGAACCTCCCTTCTACCTCTGGCGTTCAGAGATTTCCTTCTCTACCCACTTGTTTGTATACAACCACGCCCGGCAGGATGACCACCAGATGACCGGCCGCGGCAGTGCCTCCACTCAGCCCCAGCTGGGCAAAGTTTCACTCCACTGCGGCGACGTGAACAAGAATCACGGCTTCCTTACCGTGAGTTATGAATGATTTAAGCCAAGTTTACAGGACACACAAAGCGAGGGACGAGTGAGTGACGGGAGGCGCTGACAGGGTTTTAAAGTTAGCTTTTATTGATACGCCCTAAATACAATGAAAAACAGAAGTCACCCTGACCCACGGGATAACTGTCGGGGCAATAATATTTTTAAGAAAAAATCACGCAAGACTGAGCCTCAATCTCCCCCTTATCACCTGCAAATACAGTCTGCAGAAGGGCAGCCTAGGGACCCCACTCGGGGGTCCCTCGCAGGGTGCGTCATATGGGCTCTCCCCTCTGCGACCCGCTATTTCCCTGCTAGACCCCCAGCGCCCAGCGGATTCCAAGGCTGCGCTCCCGCCGGCTGGTCCCGGGAGGTAGAAAGTAGGCAGAGGGGCGTGGCGTCTCTGTCGCCCCCAGATTCCAGCCCGCCTCCAACGCCTGGCACCACCACAAGCCAGGGCTGGGAACACTGGGGGCCTCCCAATCGGGCGCGGGGCGCACGGCCGCAGGCTGGCGAGGAGGCAAGCGAGCTCGCCGGGAGACCTTTCCTTCCACCCCTAGCCTAGCCCCAGCCCCAGCCGTGGGGGCACCGGCTCCCCGCGACCTCGGGCTGCCGCCCGTCGAGGGCGACCGCGCGGTTTCTGCCTCTGGGTCTGGGTGTCCCTTGCCCCCTTCCTCCGCCTCTCCCCGGTCTCCGGCGCCCAGCGCTCCGACCAGTCCCCGCCCTCCAGGACACTCTTCCCTCCTTCCTTCCTTCCTCCGCTCCCTCCCTCCATCTCGCTTCCCAACACCCGGGACTCGGAGGCGGCCCCCGAACTCGCTGGCCGACGCCCCGCGCCGCGCCCGGACCCCGCGGGGACCCGACTCACCACCCGCGCCCGCCGCTTGGTACTCACACGCCTGCTGGTGCGCTGCCCCGCCGTCGCCGCCGGGACTCGGTCTCTAAGGGCTCCTGGAGACGGCTCCGACCTCTCCTCCTCCTCCTCCTCCTCCTCCTCCTGCTCCTCCGGGCGCCGGCTCCGCCTCGCTGGGGTGGGCGGGGCGGCGGCGGCCCCAGGCTCCTTCCTCCGCGCCGGGCCCTGCCTCCCGCCCAGACACCCTGGCTATGTTGCCCCGGGCCGCGGAGCCCGCGTTGTGGCCCGGCTGGAGGAGGGGAGAGGCCTGGGGAAGCTCGGTGGACGTCTGGCCGTCTTTGGCCATCCCCCTTCCCCTAATTCTCATGGAGGACCTGAATTTCTAGGAGTTGAGGGCTCCCACTCTACGACCCGCTCCTCCGCGGGGCCGCCCTGACGCCTCGCAAGTTTCCTTCGCGTGCGAACGCCTCGCCAGCCCCTGTGCCAGCGGTCCCCAGGGCTGTGAGGATGAGCGCTGCCAAACCCCTACACAAAAGTTTGGCTCTGCCCCAGACACTATGGAGGAAAACACTCACAGTAACATTTAAAGGGCCCTGGGGCCACGGAGAGACGTTTCACAGAAAGTGGAGGTATAACTGCGGATTATTGAATTTGTAGTACATCCACCCACCATTAGCTTCCCGTCCATCTGCCCCAACCCCCTGAAATTTGTTTCCGAATGTCCAGTACCTGGCAGAGTTCTGCCCAATGAATCGGATTTGGTTGGTCTTTTCTGGAATGGTTCAAGGTCAGGTAAATGGAGGAGCCATTTCTGCTTCCACAGATTTCGTACTATTCCTTGGGCCATTCGACAAACATTACCGAGCACCCGCTGTGTACCAAGCGCGATGCTAAAGGTGATGGGAGAAGTATAAAGATGAAATCAGACAGGGGGCTTGCCTTCTTGGAGTCCAGAAAGAGTAAAGAAGCTGAATATTCAGAAAACCACTCAGCGGACTTCTGGAGTATTTCTAGGTAACCGCTTTCTTGTTTGACAGGGTGGAGAGAAAAGAGGTGAGGCCAAAGTAGGTCACATAGAACCAGTGTGGGCAGAGTCCGCACTTGAAATGGAGTCTGAAAGCATTGGTGAGGGATGTCTGTGTATTGAGTTTCACCAACTGAAGACAAGTGGGCCCTGGGGAATCTGGAAACTAGGGACTGCAGTCAGGGCATTATATTCCCTCTTGCTTTCCTTCTGACCCCTAAGCAAGTATCAGGCTTAGTGAAATGATTTGCACATGTAGAAGAGGTGTCACAGGTAGAGTCGGTGTATGAATGCATGCCTTGCCCCAGGAATGTGATCTTAGCAAGCTGCAGATGAAGGTGGTTTTGGGGGTGCAAGTCACAGGCTACCAGCGAGGTCTTTATTTCCTGTTCTGTTCAGCATTAGGAAATGCTTGACTGATTCACAGGTACTAACAGTTCAAATGATACATCTGAAACAGAACAGCATGACACCACAGGGACTGAGAGGGTGGCATACAGGAGTTTGTATTTTTTGGCCACAGACCACAGAATAGACTCCTCTAAGCCATACTACTAATTTCCCTTCCTGGGACACTTTATAGTTTAATAAGTGCTTTCATGTGCTTACTCTTACTTTTCTCTCATTAGTCTCTTGCAAAAACCTGGAAACTGGAACACCAGTAACTTAAGTGGCTTGTTGGAAGTTTTCTAGTTGAGTGCTGTTCAAAGTGTGGTTCATAGAATAGTGACAGTCTGCAAACCATTACCCATCTACAAAGGGATGAGCATAGAAATTGAAGATAAGCATGTAGAAACTTATAGCAGTTTGACAGAGTAATTTTATGTCTGTTGAATCGTTTAAAATGCGGCTTTGTATTTTATGTCTGTTTATTTCATTTTTCTCTTATCATGTAGAAAGGCATCAGCCTGCAACAGACTGAAAATAAAATATCACTGATAGTTTGAGAAGCACTAATCGAGTTAGTATTAGGTTGGTACGAAAGTTATTACCGCAATTACTTTTGCACCAACCTAATAGCAAGGCAGGAATGATAGCAACTAATACTTAACCAGCACTTTCTGCATGGCAGATGTTGCTTTAAGTGCTTTACATATATTAAACCTTTTACTCCTCCTAACAACCTAAGGACGTCGTCACAGTAAGGTTAGGTCATACAGAGCAAAACTGGCAGAGCCAGGATTCAAACCCTGGCTGGCTGACCTCATGTTTTGTTCTTTTATCCATGCCCTCAATCCAGTGTCCTTTCTACTCTGCTGGTGTTTCCCAAACTTAAATGATTCACATTCCATTTTCATGCCACTGTAATTCCTATTTTTTATTTATATTTTTTATTGACTCACTTTTGTTATTTTGTACATGTATTACCCTGGCAGTTAGTAACTCCAAGCATGTAATCATGGGTTTGATAAGGAAGCATCAATCTTCTACCCTAGTTCATGTTAAAGTACATGCCTAATTCCAGCAGTTGCTGTCAGTGCTTGGCCATATCCCCTCCAATCCTTTTCCGGTTTTGTGCACACTGGTTCCAGGTGTGCGTTCATTCCCACCTGCCAGCACCTGCATCTTATTCTCAGAGTCCCAGCTCCAGCTGCAGGATTTGCTTTGCTTGGGCATAGGGTAGCTGGAAACGCCTAGAATTAATGTCCTCCACCTCCATCCCTAGCCTTTAGCCAGTGTGGAGGAATAAATATTTCAGCTCCTTTGCTCATATTTGTGATAACTGGGTGGATCTACATTGTCTACAGAGTTCCCTATGCCGTTGGGCCAAATTTCATGAGCCTATTTGGTTTCTTTATTTTTTTTTTCTCTACTTTTAAACTTTTTTTCTTACTTTTCTTTATGTTCTTGCTATAAAATAGTTAATGAATTATTTTCGACTCCCTCACTCAGTGGCATTCAAAACAAGTAAATCAGTTTCCTATGAAAGAGTGTCAGTGGAGTGGAGTGAAATTTATGCTTTATGAGATAAGGTCTTTGAGATTAAGTCCTGGCTTTGCCATTAACAAGTTGTGTACATTTGGGACAGTCACTTAACTTTGCTAGGTCTCTGCTTGTCTTTAAAATAAAGGGATTGTAAGAGAATGCCTCTAAAGTCCCAATTCTATGGAAATTAAATTTTAGTTTTAAAAAGTGGCTTTCTTGGCCATTGAATCCCTCACGAGACAAACAAGAGAAGTGGTCTTATAATTCAGGAAAGTTTTTTTTTTTTTAATGAATTGCAATTCATATGTCAATCTACTGTGAATTTCTATTTAATATTCAATAACAACACCGTAGCAAAAGGATGAGTCAGAAAGAGATGGTGAAGAAATTAAAAAGTGAGGCAAATCAGTCAGTCTCTCGGTGATTAGGTCTCCACAGACTTCAGAACAATTCTTTTTTTTTCTTTAGAGATGGAGATCTTACTTCAGAACAACATTTTTGGGATATTAGCTTTGCTCCCTGTGGATTTTATTGGTCCTGTTGCACATGGCTTCACTTTTTGTCTGGACCTGCCCTGGAAGTCAGGGAGAACTCCCTCCTTTTGAGTAGGTCACCTGGGAATAAGTGTCTTCCAAACTGGTTTTTCTGCTCAGTCAGAGGCTGCCATATTTCCATGTAGAAGTTAGGTCAGGGAGAAGCACCCACAGTCTTGGAAATCCCCACGTAACCTGTTGAAACGTGTATTGCCATAGGCAGGAGCTATGACCAAAACTGTGGCTACAGATCAGAAGGCAATTTAGCATAGTTCCACACTCACATGGGTGGAAACCTCCAGACGCCGGGGTGGGAGTGACCCAAAATGGAGGCACCCATGCAAGTTAGTTGATTACTAACTCAATATGAGCTCTCTGACTTATTACTGCAATAGGCTCCCTAGCTCTAGGGAGTGGAAGTCCCCAGATACTGTTGTCTAGAAGTCAAAAATATGGGCTCAAGAGTTAATGAATTTCCAATCATTGGAGGAATTCAACCAGCGGTCACTTAGAAAGTAGAGATGTAGGGGATATCAGAGATGCAACCCAAATGCCCATCATAAGAGATAAGATACCTCCCTCTAAAGCACTCTGAAAAAAAAGATACAGATCTAAATATGTTCACATGAAAAGATGCCCTCAATGCATTCTTGAGCATAGATAGCAGATTGTAAACCATCATGTGGAGAATTTTCCATTCATGTATAAAAAAGCATACATACACACGAATCTCTTCTATAAGTGTGTCTGCAATTATGTTTGTGAAAATAGTAACAGTGACTTTCTCAGGGTGGTGAGATTTCAGGTAACCTATCTTTTTTTATACTGCATGAATTTTTTCACAGTGAATGTGTAGCTTTTCTATAAATCATGTCTTTTTTCATATTATAAATGTATCTTTTTTCATAATACAAAACGACAAAAGGCATTGTGCAGACCAGGAGTTGGCAGATTATGACCAGAGGACAAAAGGACCACATCTTTTGTAAATAAAGTTTAATTGGAACACAACCACACTCATTCATTTCCCTATAGTCTATGGCTGCTTTTGTTTTTAGGTAAAGGTAAGAGTTGAATAGCTGTCAAAGAGCTTACGGCTTGCAAAGCCTTAAGTATTTATCTGCCCCTTTAGGAAAGAAGTGTGGCAACCTCTGGTGTAGACAATTAAACTAGAAAACGTTTTCAGTATGGCAAATTGCAACCTAGATTTTACTTTTTCAGATTTCAATTTATTTGAATTTCTATTAAAAATATGTATAGACTGTATATTTTAAAGTATATCCCAGTTCTGAGTAGTGATTATAACAGAGCAAAGTGACAATATTAGTATTTGGGTAGCTAAGGTCTGTATATTCTCCTTCTTCCTCTTCCTTATTCTTTTCCTCCTCCTCTTCCTCTTCCTTGTCATTCTTCTGATAAGATCACCATCTTATTCTACGGTTTGCCCTCAGATGCTGTTCTACTTGAGAAAGTACCAGGAGGAGAACTGAGGTTTCCCCTTCCTGGCTTGGATCTCTCCAAGACAGAATAATTGAGGAAGTCCTTGACAAAATAAATTGTCCTGGCGGAAGAGAGGCAAGGTTCTAAAGAATAGACCTAAACCTGGAGGAGAAAAAACAGGGAAGCTGAAGGAGCCCAGCTGAGGAGGAGGGGAGGGTGTCCAGCTCCAGAGGAAAGGCTGGGAATTGGATGGAGTAAATCTCTCTCTTTTCCCCTTCCCTCTTCAGACCCTTCCCACACGATCCATCTAGCCTCCAGATATACAGAGGAGGTTTGGGGGTTTTTCTCCTTCACAGTCAGCGGTATCCAGCATCAAAGCTCCCATCTGCAGAACTCACATGAGCAAGGCTAACTAATGCCAGTCTGAGCAATGCCAGGCCCTTGCTGATTTCCAGAACTCAGCCAGAAAAGTTGGATATTGGCCTTGATATGGAATGTACTCAGATACCAAGTAATTAAATGGTTCAACAGAAACACGCTCTTTGTCAACCACT